TGTGGTATTTTGTTCTTATCGTTTGTTTCTCGCACGAGATATTGTTAATTGTAGTTGTTATTATTGTATCATGTAATGTTATTTGATTCTTGAAAGTGTAATTAAATGTTTGGAGAAAAGTTTAACACCGTCGAAGGGTTTTTTGATGATCTTTCTCGCAGTATTGTGCATATTTTTTGCTCGTTTAGCGGCGGGGAAATGGCGAGGTATAAGCGAGATGGTTAAGATTGTTTCTTTTATATATATACGATCGAAGAAATATTCATTTTCGTACGAAGAAGTCGATCGAAAGATGGAGACGTAGGGAGAAAATTCGGGAGGGATATTAATATCGAATACTCGAAGGAGATCTCCCTTCTCCCCTCGCTCGAGCCAGGAGAGAGGTGGTTACGCCACTGCGAGTCGAGCCACAGGACGGTGTGTATAAACCGTCTAGATGCGCACGAGAGCCGAGAGGAGGGGGGGCACGGCATGCCATCGTGGCCGTCCATAGCCACCTAAGCAGATTCTGTCCCCTAGCGGCGTGTGGATTCGTAGCTCGCGTTCAATTTACATTCTAAAGCCGCGGCGATACGGGGAGGATGGAGACGCGTCCATCCTCCCCTCCATTTGTCCTTTTATTATTTATACAAACACCGGACTGGACCTCCCCCCTCCTTGTCGCCGTAAACCAAGGTGATTTAATAAACGTTCCGGCCACGGAGAGGCGGAACACCCGCCAACCATTTACTCCCTTCGCGTTTATTTAACAATCGACGTATCGAGGCACAAGAAGAAATAGGAGAGAGAGAGAGAGAAAAAGAGAGAATCGAAGGAAAGAAAGGTTTTTCGTTCAACCGTTGTGGGAACGTGACCGGTCCTATCGGGAATAGGAGGAGCGCAAACTCGCAAACGAGCCCGTCCCTTTCTCGTTTCTCCAACGATTATCCGTCTCTAGAATGAATTACGCCGAACGTTGATCGGCCGTATCGCGTTTTCCCGCGCAATTTGTAACCAGTTTCTCGGACGGCCGATAAAGTCGGCTGTTTTTCTATAACCGACGGGGTTATATAAGAAGTAGAAGAAACGAGAAAACGAGAGGCGAGAACGAAGTAGGAAGGATCTCCGAATTCCCTCCTCCTCCTTCGATCCTTCGTCTTGCGTGTTAAAAATTGGCTCGCTCGGTAAAGAAGAAATGGATTCGATCCGCGGAGGATTTCCGAGAGAATCGAGGAAGGGGATTCGAATCTAAGTTTTCGATCTATGTCGCGATGTATATCGTTGGATAATCGCCATCGAATTCGATGCGCTGTTGGATAGGGAAGGATGATAAGTGAAACACATGGAAGCAACACGTGCGGAATATCTATCGCGATAACCTTCCTTTTTGTTTTATCGAATGGACGTTTTATCGTAGGATAAAGCGTTCGATAATATAATCCAAATGATCTAATTTATTTTTTTTCCCGAGACACGATAAAGATTTTCAATAACAAAATTTCCGAAACGACGTCTCGGAAAGGAGTTTAAACGGACGGCCAAGATTTCTTTTATTTCTTTGGATTGCAACTCGAATTTCGTATTCCACCCGCTCCTCTCCTTCCCCGCGTGTCCGCCGCCGCGTGCATCCAAGGTTTATGGCTCGTATTTCCTCTTTAACGCCGACGTTGCTTCGACCACGGCTCGAACCCGCTCGCCTTTGTACTCCCTCTCTCTCTCTCTCTCTCGCTCGCTGTGAGGAGGACATATTCCTTATACTGTCCCGTCTATCCAACGATTCCAACGCGTTTCGCGAATCTTCGAGATTTCGTAATCTCCCCCCCTCCTCTCTATAACCATGGATCGTTTCGTAACGCGTCCATCGATTCCTTTTTTTTTTCTCTTCTCTCCTTCTCGATCTCGCCTCGCGAAACTTTCTAATCGACAACCATGGTCGCCTCTGTTCTCCGTCTTCCTCTCCCCTCTAATTTATCACTACGCGCGTTAATTAAACGCGTTCGGGATAAGAATAGAGAGAAAGGGCGGACGGAAAAGGGAGAGGAAAAAGGTGGAAAGGAAGTAGATCTTTGGGTGGCGTCCAAGGTGGCGCGAAAACTCTCGCAAAAACTCGTTTTCGTGGTCGTGGCGAAGGTTAAAACCGTAACGCTTCTATCTGGGTTGCGCTCTCGCCACGGGCCCGCACCGCAATTACATCCCATAAAGCACGATCGAGACACGGTTCGACCATTATTCTCCCGTACAGGGCCGTATAAAGGGGGGGAGGGCTCTTGCCGTTTAACGTTGCTCTGCCCCTTCATCCACCGGAATTCGTACACGCGCCTCTCCTCTCCTCTTCGTCCGTCGTCGAATATTCCTTCTGAATATTGCTTTTGTTTTTTTTTCTTTTTTTCTTTCTTTCTTTTCACCGCGTGAAAAATCCAAAGAACGACCCGTTATCCTAATCCCTTGTTCACGCATTTATGCATTCCTCCACCGAATAATTTCTTCTTTAACTCGAGTTCGAAGTCGATATATATACTTCTCCCTTTTCTTCCCTTTTCTTCCCTTTTTGGGCAAAATTTATGAATCTACGTGCGCAAAGACAGAAGAGAGAGAGAGAGAGAGAGGAGAAAAAAAAATGAAACGAAACCGGCGAGATCCAACTTTCACTCCAAAGACGTAGGTTACGGTCCCGGGTGGACGGGTCGTTTCGTATTCGATTCGATATTCGAGAGACGGGGAGAAAAAAATGACGCAATCGGTTTCATTGAGTAATCGCGCAAGATAAATCCCACTCGATCGTTGTGATCCAATCTCTCTTCGCCCGATATTGTCCTTCCATCTCTTTTCCCCCGCCCACCTTTTCTTCTCCGCTCAAATCGAAGCGTTCGGCCCACGTGTGTTTCATATTCGCAATTCGCTTAAACGCTTCATCGAAGCAACTAATTAGAGCGGAAATAGGTCGTTTCTCGACGACCCATTTTTCCTTCGCCTTCGCCCAATTTCCATCCCCTTCCCTCCTTACCTTTAATAATACACCTCGAGCTGATGGAAAAGAAGGATTGAACCTCGAATCGAAGGATTTCGATTCGAAATGACGCATCCAGGATCGGCCAGGAGAGGGATCGGAGAGGGGAGGCAAGATCAACGTTTGCCTTTCTTCTTTCACTCGTTCGTTTCCTTCGACTCCCTGCCCCTGTGAAATTTTTCTTTTCGAGATTCGCAGGAGCGACCACCCAAATTTCCTTCTCCTCTTTGAAGGGAAGATTCCTTCCTCTCTTTCCTGGTCACTAACGATCGCGACCCACTTCCAGCCTTAAGGAAACCCTCTCGAGTCGAATCGAACCAGGTCGACCAGATAATCCCTCTCTTCCTCTCGAGAACTTGGCAACTTGCCACGTGGAACGTATTTAAATATCCATATCTGGATCTATACGCCTCGAACGATTCGATGTGCACCCTCGATCGAGATTCGATTCGAGGAACGCGTGAAAACATCGATGGGAAGAAAAAGACGCTTGGATGGGCGTTCTTTCGCGTTTCCCTTCTTTCTCCCCCTCCTTTTCGGTGGCTTTTCTCCTCGGGTGTTCCGATTCCCAACCACACCCCCGCGCATCGGGCACGGTTTTAAACGGCCGGGGCCAGACACGATCGCGCTCACCTCGGTACTTTGCTACTTTCCAGGCCTTTAATTTGGCACGTGTTCCACTCTTGGCTATTGTTCCCATGATTGTTGGGTGGGAATCTCTCTCCTCTCCTCTCCTCTCCGCGTCTTCTTCTTCCGCCCCCTCCTTCCTTTTTACCCGGTAATGCACCGACTCTCTCTCTCTCTCTCTCTCTCTCTC